GCGGAAGGAGGGGTCGAAATCATTTACATTGAAAGCAAACATAGAAGCAATATGGCGGACCAAAATGAACCTTGTGCGTTTAGTTATTCTTTTTGCCATGGCAACTCGTGACAAATACGTTTACATGGGAAGGGGAGGGGTGGTGTCCGTTTTCTCAACTTATCCTTAACATCCACACGACATAACTGATCATAATAATATGGAAGTTAAGAACATTACTGTTAAAGGTGAAGTAAGGCATGAGGATGCAATGTGCAGACTTGGAATCTACAAGAGAAAAGGACATGAGATAGAGATAAGTGAGAATCAGTTATTACCATCAAATTCAACAGCAACTATTTTGCACTCAGTCTGATAGTTATCATTNCAACTCAACAGCTAAACAGCATCACTTGAGCATCAGGATCAATGTTCAATTGGTCCAGTAAGGGTACACTCCAACAGGTCCATAAGAGGCAGGGTATGTCCATGGCCAGACACAGTTCAGCACTGTATAATTATTATTAGGTGGTCCAATGACAGTTCCTTTGCAAGTAGGTGATGAGGGCGTCACACCCACAGTATGATTTGTCGTTCTCTGATAGTAACTGGGGGTTCCCAAGGTGTCGTACGTTAACATGGTGGGTGCCCTGTGCTGCCTAATAGGTTGTCCATGGATTTCTCCACTCCTTGACAGGCCCCCAAATGTTACCGGCCGCGGAAGGAGAGGTCGAAATCATTTACATTGAAAGCAAACATACAAGCAATATGGCGGACCAAAACGAACCTCGTGCGTTTAATTATTCTTTTTGCCATGTCAACTCGTGACAAATACATTTACATGGGAAGGGGAGGGGTGGTGTCCGTTTTCTCAACTTATCCTTAACATCCACACGACATAACTGATCATAATAATATGGAAGTTAAGAACATTACTGTTAAAGGTGAAGTAAGGCATGAGGATGCAATGTGCAGACTTGGAATCTACAAGAGAAAAGGACATGAGATAGAGATAAGTGAGAATCAGTTATTACCATCAAATTCAACAGCAACTATTTTGCACTCAGTCTGATAGTTATCATTTTATTGTGTCAAGT